AACGGATCGTCCCCGCCAGACCCAGGTAGATTCTCTTCCATCTCTCTTTCTTTGTTCTTTGGTATCATTATCGTCTCCAGGGCATCGGCTGACAAAAGAAGAACTCGAGTCGTCTGGAGATATCCAGCAAGTGGCCGCTGCCCCAGCCTCGCAGCATCCGGCTCGGCTACCCAGCTGTCTGCGCCCCCCCAGCAGCCACCCGCCCCTGAGCAACAGCAGCCAACCGACCCTGCTCAGGGCACTGGGGACTCGGGCCAGCAGCATGGCAGCGGTCCGACCAGCACAACGACTCCCGACAGCCCGTTGTTCGTTCCACAGGATGACAACAATGTCGACGCCGCTGACAGTGCCAACAATGACACCACCGCCGCCGCCGATGCCTCTGCCGCCACTACCACCACCACCACCACCACCACCAACGATGAGGCCGGCGCCAATAGCACTGTCGCCGTCGACACGCAGATGTATTCGCAGTTCTTGCTGCAGCAGCGTGCCGAGCAGAGCCCGCCTGACCAGCCAATGCTCGACAACAACGCTGCGCTTCCGCCGCCGCCGCCATCGCCAACCCCCCAGCAGCAGCAGCAGCAGCAGCAGCAGCCTAATTCAGACCTGGGCCCGGTCGTTGTTGACCCAAACATCGACCCCCAGCTCTACGGATACCAGTGAAAAAGAGTAACAGCCAATTCAAGTGCAATGATCAAACAGTTACCTAGGTTTTTTTCATTTCATTTGCTCTTCTTCGACAAGAAATCTGCGTCCTGTTCCCGGTTCGAACTCCTCGCTTCGTCAAGCATCACGTCAATTCCTTTCTCCTTCAGGGTCCTCTGTTGGATGTTAGCTGGTTGACATGCTTGCACTCCTTCCACCCCCTTGGTTCCTTCACTCCGCCCGCCTGACAGACTTCCGGTCTTTTCTCCTCGTCTGACAACAGTCGAGTGTCTGCCAGCCTCCGCCAAATTCAAAGAAAGTTCAAGTTTGCTGCTCTGGGTTGTTTTACTTACAAACAGACACTTCTTGTACTGCTGAAAGACCTCCTCGCACTCGTTCGTCGACGTGTTACCTCGAAGGAACTCTACCAATCCTCCTGCGTTAGCTTGCGCTCGTTCAGCTTCCTCCTTCTCGTTGCTCTTCTCAACGTGTGTTCGTTCTTTTGTCCCGGGCCTTTGACACTAGAACTTACTCTCACTATACCACTTGAGAAAGCACGAGTCGTATCTCCTATCCAGCAGCAGCCATCGTCAGTCAACATTCCCTCTGCTTGCTCGGGTTCTTTTTTCGCTTCCTTGGATCCAATGGATATCACCACCGGCCGTCAATCAATGCAGCCAGCTCAACACTTACTCCTTGATCTCGTTGCATTCCGGTGCCAGTGACGCAGACATGTCGGGTCTCGTTCCACTCTCTTATCCAGACAAGCGCTCTTGTTCGTGTTCTGCTGCTCCTCTCAGTCTGCCGTCGGTCGAACTAGCCTGCCCGCCAATACACCCAGGTTAGCCCTCACCACTGCTTTCTGACGCTGCGAGCGCAAGCCGAACAGTCAGCAATCCAAGCACAGCTCACGCCCACATTGGTATTCATGCCCTCGCCAAGCACCAACCATGATACCAGTCAGCCTGCGTCGACTACAAGCAAAAATACCCAGCAACACGCGGCTGTTCGGACTGACATTGACGCCTCTTCAACTTACCCCGTTGTCTTCGAGCCTCTCACCTTGCTGCTGCTGCTTATGCCTCTCTGCCTTCTCTCCAGTTTTTGAAGTTAACGACATGTCACATTTGTCAAGTCGGGTTCTCGGTCAACATGCTCGTCAACTTCCAAGGCACTCACTCAGGCTCTCTCTCTCTCTCTCTCAATCTAAGGCAGCAGTTAGCAACCGCTCAGACACGGGGTCAAGTTAAGAGACCAATCTTGTTTCACGGCTCTACCATCACGATGACGACTATACTTACTGACACACTTCTCACGCTTCTGACACGTCTTGCTGCTTCGATCTTCCAGTCCAGCCTGCCGAACAACCCCAGGTCAACATCCCAGTTCGGTCTTCAAGCTTCCATGGACAACTACTACTTCTTACCACCTATGAAGCACGCATGTCAGTTCAAGTCACCAAGTCATCAACAAGACATCGAACAAAGAGTCATCAAAAACAAGCCTGAAACGTCAACCTGCTCTGCTGTCTCACTCCATACACTCCAACTACGAATCTCTCTCAGCTGAACTTTCTCTCCTCCTACTCCTGCAAGCCCTCGAGATTTTGGGGTCGAATGCAACAAATCGATGCAAGACAAGGCAAGACACTTCCCTCCAAAGAGCTAACAGCTAACACTTACTTCAAAGAGTCTCTCACTGACCACTCAGCCTAGAAGCAACCGACGAACAACAGCTGCCAGTCACAAACTGCTCGGAGCTCAAATCAAGCCGGCAAACCAAGTCGTCAAATCAAGTCAACAAATCAAATTGTCAAATCAAGCAGACTCACGATATTTCTCGGAGGATCAAGGATATCTTGCTGTCAAATCTGTTCTGCTCTTTATGTTCTGTTTCTTCTTCTTGCTATCTTCTTGCTCATCTTTCGATGTTTCGTTTCTTTTGAAGTCGCTTTTGACGTTGCGCGGCTTAACTTTTCGCCGGTTCCGATGAACTTTAATATTTTCTTTTTCGGGTTTATTTTTTTTTTTTTTTTATTTCGTTTTATCAACTTCACCTGTCGAAGAGAATCGCAGGCTGAAAGTCGGTTGATGAAGCTGGTCAAATTGATATTCTCTTACAGCTGCTGCATAAGGATGCCTTTTGTCTTTTCTACCTTTACTTGAGACTGCACAAAAATACAAGCAAGCTTATCCTCCCTCATACCCGTGCCATTGCTTCTCTCCCAGCGTCATCCGTAGCAAGTGCAAGCAAGTGCTGGTCTCAAGATGGACGCCGAGGGCTTCCCGGCCTTCCAGGAGCAGGCCCAGGCAGCGCTGGTAGATGCCGTCAAGACGACCAACCGCATTGCGTCCGGCGACCTTGCCTTCCACCGCTCCTTCGACTCGCCGACCAGCCGCAGCCTGACGGAGCAGAGCAACCGCTTGCTGAGCCTGACCAACTCGCTGCTGCGCATCGCATCCGCAAACAACCCAGACTCCCCGTTTAATGCATCGAGCTCAGCGTCTGCAGATTCGAGGGGCGGGAAGAGTAAAAAAAAGAAGCCCAAGACGGTGCTGCGCGACGAGGACAGCGTGGAGGAGAACTGGAAGGATGTGGTTGACGTTATCGACGAGCTGCTGGAGAAGGCCGATGCGTGTCTGGACGAGGTCACGGGCGTGATCAAGAAGTATGCTCCGGTGCAGGAAGCACAGAAGAAAGAGACGGCGGGCTTCCCGCGGATGTACAGCCATGGGTCGTCGAAGATAGCGAAGCCGCAGCTCCAGTTTGACGTCAAGCTGGACAATGCGGATGATGGACGGGCGTTCAGACCATTGCTGAAGAGCAAGCCGCATGCCCTCGTTGGACTGGAGGAGAGTCTCGGAGGCAGCTTCCAAGATCCTACCAAGCCGTGAGCTACCATCTACGTTACTGGTGATAGATTATATACTAATCTAGGTCTAGGTATAACCATCCGTACGAGAAAGAGATTGAAGCCTCGACGTATCCGGCTCGAGTCTACGAAAAGGCCGAGCCGACGATGTACACGCCCGTAGCAGACAGCAAGGCCATCTTCGTCGAAACCCTCGAAGACGTGCACGCCATGTTATCGCAGCTGAAGCAGGCCAAGGAGATCGCAGTCGACCTGGAGCACCATGACAGCCACGTCTACCATGGCCTGGTGTGTCTGATGCAGATCAGCACGCGCGAGCAGGACTGGATCGTGGACACGCTGAAGCCATGGCGTGACCAGCTACAGGTTCTCAACGAGGTGTTTGCAGACCCGTCCATCATCAAGGTGCTGCATGGCTCGAGCATGGATGTGATATGGCTGCAGCGGGATCTGGGGCTGTATCTGGTCGGGCTGTTCGATACGTTCCATGCCGCGAGCGCACTGCAGCTGCCGAAGAAGAGTCTGAAGTTCCTGCTGCACGAGTACGTGGGGTTTGACGCCGACAAGCAGTATCAGACGGCTGACTGGCGGATACGGCCTCTGCTGGCGGGCATGCTGGACTATGCGAGGTCAGATACACATTTCCTGCTGTACATTTTCGACCGGCTGCGGAACCAGTTGCTTGAGTCACCGTCGTCGTCGCCAGAGGAGAAACAAGAGTCAGGTCTAGGAGGAGGCGGACGGGAGGCCATCGAGTATGTGCTTGAGCGGTCCAAGGAGTGTGCCCTGCAGCGCTACGAGCGGCCTACCTACGATGCTGCTACCGGACGAGGCAGCGGCGGCTGGCACGATATGCTGTCCAACAGCCCCGTGGCGCTGACACGCGAGCAGTTCGCCGTCTTCCGGGCGCTGCATGAATGGCGCGACAAGACGGCCCGGGCAGACGACGAGAGCCCGCAGACGGTGCTGTCGAAGCGGGCGCTGTTCCGGCTGGCGCAGGAGATGCCAGAGGACAAGTTTGCGGTGCTGCGCATGGGGTCTCCAGTCTCTGCGTCGCTGAGGAGCCGAACCGACGAGGTGGCTGGTCTGATCCGCGAGGCAAGACAGCAGGGCGGCGCTACGGGGCCGGAGATGCATGAGCTGATCCGGCGACGATCTCCGGCCGGACATGCGGCTGCAAGTTCGAGTACGGCTACGGCTGCAACTACGGCTACCGCTACAGGTACTACTACTGGCAGAGAGCAGGCGGCGGCGGCAGCGGCGGTGGATAGGGATGGAGCTGGGGATGGGGATGCGGTGGATCTCAGCAGGGCTTCTGCTGCTGCTGGTGCTGGTGCTGCTGCTGCGTCGACATGTGCGGTGGGAGTGCGGACTACGGAGTCGCGGTTCTGGGGTCAAACCGGGCTAAAAGAGAATTGCAGTATCAACTGCAACGGCGATGATGAATATAATGATATCAATATTCATGGATACAGCGTGTCTGCATCGACGCAGGCCCTGCAGCTATCCCTGCCTCTCCCGAACATGCCTGTCCGGCTGGTTGAGGGTGAAGTTCCCCGGCCAGTGGAGGGCGAGGGAGAGCCATCTGAGGATGAAGCTGAGGGAGAAGACGACGCAGAAGCAGAGGAAGAAGCAAAGGTGTCACAGCGCAGCGAGATCTTCACTGTGAGACAGTTTGGAGCACCGCCGCGGAGGAGAGAAGGTCTACGAGACGGCGCTGGTGAAACGGCGTTTGATAAGGATGCGTCTGAGATCCTGCTGGACGAAGGCAGCGCCAGGAAGAAGGAGAAGAAGAAGCTGAGGCAGAGGTCGTCGCTGGGCAAGCGGCCGCGAGATGAAGGAGAGGCAGAGGAAGCAGGCAGGCCGTTTGACTATGCGAATGCTGAGTCTTTGATACACCGGGAGAAGCAGAAGAAGCAGCAGAAGCCGCAGCAGAAGCCGCAGAATGGCAACGGCCAGCGGTTCAACCCGTACAACAAGCTGCTGGATGCGCCGTCGGGAGTCAAGAAGCCTCGCACCGAGACTGCCGGCCGCTCCCACACCTTCAGATAGAAGCAGAAGAGGAAGACAAGAGGAAGACAAGAGGAAGACAAGAGGAAGACAAGAGGAAGACAAGAGGAAGACAAGAGGAAGACAAGAGGAAGACAAGAGGAAGACAAGAGGAAGACAAGAGGAAGACTCTGTCGTTATCCACCGGCAGCCTCCACCCCCTGACCCTGGCAGCTCCTTAGCGTACCAAGTAATGAAGTCATGGAAGCCACTGAAGAGCAAGCAAGCGCGAGACTCGAGAGGAGCCTCTGGCTGCGTCCCCGTAGAGCCCCCCGTAGAGCCCCAGCAGCGGCCAGGAAGAGTCGCTGGCGATACGAACCCGTCGGCGCCTCGTCTGAGATCGGAGATGCTGAAACACGCCGTGTCGCAGGTTGATTCTTCTTTACTCTTTGCTGTCTTTAACCAAAGTCTTAACTAAAGTCTTTAACTAACTTGACCACCTTTAACCAAAGTCTTAGCCAGTCTTTAACTAACCTTTAACTGGCCACGCCCCACCGCCGCCGCCCTCTTTTAGCCCCTTTCGACTTCTTCTTCTTCTTCTTCTTCTTCTTCTTTTCTTTTCTTTTCCCAAATTCCGACTTTCTTCTTCTCCTTCTTTTCTTTCTTCTTCCTCCCCGCGACTTCGCCTCGACTTCATCCTCTCTCTCTCTCTCTCTCTCTCTCTCTCTGCCTGCCTGCCTGCAACTACCACCGCCCGCCCTCGCCGTTGACCTCGACAGCGTCTCGTCCTCAGCTTCTCCTCCAGCCAGAGCAGCCGGCAGCAGCCATTGACTCGCCGGGGGCCTCCGTTAGGACGTTGGTTCGTTCGCTGGTCGTTGGCTAACTGACTGACACTCCCGTCGCCACCACCGCCTCACTAGACAGACGACAGACGAAGACGACAGCGACAGCGACAGCGACAGCGACGGCAGACTGCGATAGACAGGAGATCGAGGCCGGTTCGATGCTGTCGTGATGTAGGTCGTCTCGCACTCCATACGTTATATATGTTACTGACGAGTGCAGAGAGTAGAATGTCCGTCGCAACCATGCTGCAGCCAGCGTCCCGCGCCTCTCGCGCATCCACCTCCTCCTCGTCCTCCTTCCAGCCCATGAGCAGGCAAAACACCATGTCCTCG